ACAATAAAATAATAAACATATAAAACATTTTTTTTGTGTTTTCACACCTGATGATGATTGCTTGTGTTACAGTCGAAACGTCGTGAGAATTTAATTGTTTTATATTTTTATTATTTTATTGTTTCCCTTCTACGTGACTTTTACCGAAAGAACCAAGAATATGAATCCCTGCGGTCACGAAATCTTTAAATCGGAATTTACATGTTTTTTTTTTCTTCACGAGATTTTGTTAAATGTAAGTTCTGAGAATTTTAAAAAAATCCCATTGGTTCTGACTGTCATGCGACAGGCACAACTGTCACAGGGTGAGTGGCGGGGCTGTGCGTGTGGCAAAGTAGCTCGACTCAGCCTCAAATGAGTACCTGGTGCGGTGTGTAGTAAACATCGCCACTAGGGAGACAAAGGCGGTCGGGCGTGGTGCTGGCCACCCACCCCCTCGTGTACCATTCCGGCCTTCATAGGTGCTCGCTAACAGCACTTGCCCCTATAGTCTGTAAATGCTATACTGGGGATCTTTATCTTTGTGGCAAGCTACCCCCCCCCCCCTCTCTGCTGCGTGAAGATAGAAAAATACACAACGTATCCGTCATTAAACACTGTGACCTTAAAAGGCAACACAAAATATATGGATATCATTGGTGGCATTGTTGGCCAATATCTCTTCATAGAAAGTAAATGATGCAGGGCCATTGCCCGAAACGTCGCCGATTGTACATCTATCCTTTTAAGGCCACAGTCTTATTGACAAAGGTGTTGATTTTTTTGTGTAAATTGTACTTTGTGCTCATGCACCAATGCCAATGTCTAGCATCGCCGGATAATTTGCGTGTGGACAAGGTCGCTTGAAAATATTTAATAATAATTTGAACTTTTTGACACAAATTTTTCCTAAAAATCAACGTGCCGATGTTCTTCGGCATGCAGGATCACACTGTCCTGCAAGACTTGGAAGAGGTCAGTCTTCTTGTGACGTGACACTGATCTCACAATTGTAGTAAATACCTTAACAAGAATTTACTGTTGGCTTATATTGGTCGCGAAAGGCGACGTGTGAAACGGATTGTATTTTGGTAGAGCGACCCTCCTATACTCTGTGGCATTTCAGGGCGCCGTACACCGCATATCCCATTGCTGAAAACAAAGCCCTCTGTCTACATCACACACACACGCGTGCACATCGCGTGCTCGTGAGAGCAAAACAAAATTTATCGTGCTTACAGAACGGCAAGGAACTGGATCTGCTTTGCACAATCAAGGACTTGAATCTACGCGTGGTCCCAGGTAAGGTAAGGCCCATTGAGATGTACAGCTCTTTTTGAGAAGCGACCTGGCCACAATTGATAGTTCAACGACGTAGATTATCACGTGGAAATGCATTGCTGCCGCATACTCTAAGCGCGTGATGTTGATTCGAATTGTGGAGGGGAAAAACCAGAGGACCTGGAGAAAAAAAATCCACGCGACCGTGGGGAGAACATCCAAATCTCAAAAAAAATACACAGTCATCGTCAGGGTTGGGATCGAACCCACGACCTCCCCGTATACCAAGCGAGGTCGTTAACATCTCGGCACCGTGTCGCCACGTCTGCTGGCCACCACCACACCGGTGCTACAGGAACGCACGGAGGAGGGATCAGGCTACGTGCGTGACCACGGCCACGGATGTAAACGCCTGGCTCTTTGCACGCGCCGAATAAAGCTGCTGGCCGGACTCGCGGAAACCGCCGTGCGTATTGGTGACAGCTCACGCATTCGTCGCGCGCGGCGTGTCCTCGAGCACAGGAGGGGATGTTTCGGGCAGGGCATTCATGATGCACGGGCACCTCGACGCGCAGAGACTTCATTTTGTCAAAAATACAGCGCGTTTCAAAAAAAAAAATGTGAACACACAATCTGGTCGTTGGAGTACATCGAAATGGTGAACATATTTTAAAAAAAACACAGGACCTGTGCACAATTTGACGGTGCGTAAAGAGCAGGCGGTCGGTACCCATGGTATACACATGACTCGCCTGCTGTTGTATAGGAAACGTTGGGTCAAAGTTGCATGTCTAGCTTGGAGGCGTCATACAATGACGGGACATTGCAGTGCAGTACAAATAGAACATAAATGAAAACTCAGTGCGGCAAACGGAAGACTCCAATTGTGCTAGTGCCAGTAACGGACCGGCACGTTCTGTTTACGTGTCAAACCTCACTGATTGGCCGTGTCGGGTGGTGGCGGGTTTAACGACACAGTTATTATGGAGGGCATCATGAACGAAGCGAGGATTCGCCGCCAACTCCGCTACTCCAGACCGCCTAAAAAAATGGTCAAATGCAAGCAGCTCCTCTACAATAACATCACCATCATCAGCCCGTATGATGCAGCAGGGTGCAGCGGCATTAACTGACCCCAACAGACCGGGACGTTCATGTTGGAGACTGGCCTGCCGCAGGACTGATTGCAACGCTGCTATTTGGGGGTCTGTGTGTTTTTGTCCAGTCGCTGTTTCCCTTCGACTGTGAGGTTTACACACACACACACTCATAAAGAAGATACCCCCCCCCCCCAATCCTCCGTATAGCCTGAAGATGTTTTTGGGACAAGTTTCAATATTTGTGAGCACCTACGAAGGCCTGCCACGGTATACGATGGGGTGGGGTCGTCAGCCAGCACCACGCCCGGCCGCCTTTGTATCCCTCGTGGCGATGTCTACGCACTGCACCAGGTACTCATTTGAGGCCGAGTCGACCTAGGGGGGAGGTCCAGGACCGGGTCGGACAATCGTCACTGGGTGTTGATGGCGGTGAGCGGGAATCGAACTCGGGTCGCCGGGTTCGTAGCGCTTCCCACACACAAACAACAAAAAAGCTCCCCCGTGTAGCCTTAACAGACTGTTGGGGCAAGTGCTGTGGGCGAGCAGCACCTACGAAGGCAAGGACGAGGGGGGTGGGTGGCCAACACCACGCGCGGCCGCCTTTGTCTCCCTAGTGGCGATGTTTACGCACCGCGACAGGCAATCATTTGAGGCTGAGTCGACCTAGGGGGGAGGCCCAGGAGCGGCTCAGGTAAGCGTCACTGCTGTCAGTGCCCGTGAGCGGCAATTGATCTCGGATCGCCGGGTTCGTAGCGCAGCAACGCGCTCAGCCGCCACACCACCGCTCCCACCCCAACACTCGCACACAGACGCACAACAACACTGAGACATGCTGCTCCTGCTGCTCCTGCTGGTGATGATGAGCAGCGAGCAATCGACGACACACACCGCAAACACACCGCAGACACACACCACAGACACACACCGCAGACACACACACTGCGAATACACCGCAGACACACACATCACAGACGCACACACCACAGTCGACACACCACAGATACACACACCACAGATACACACACACCGCAGACGACACACCACAGACACACACACACACTGCAAACACACCGCAGACACACACATCACAGACACACACACCGCAGACACACACCACAGTCGACACACACACACATCACAGACACACCACAGATACACACACCGCAAACACACCGCAGACACACACACACCCCACAGACAGACACACTGCAGACACAAACACCACACACACACACACACTGACACACACCACAGACACACACACACCACAGATACACACACACCACAGACACACACACTGACACACACCACAGACACACACACCACACACACACCACAGACACACGCACACTGACATACACACCACAGACACACACACCACAGACAGACACAAACACCACAGACACACACTGACACACACACCACAGACACATACACCACAGACACACACTGACACACACCACAGACACACACACCACAGACACACACACCCATCACACACACACCACAGACACACGCACACTGACACACACACCACAGACACACACACACACACCACAGACACACACACTGACACACACACAGACACACACACCACAGACACACACACCACAGACACACACACAGACACACACGAGGTGCGGGGTTCCTTCTCTCGTGCATCTTAAAGCGGAACGAATCAAAACACCGATACCGATCACCACCACCACCATCATCAACGCCCCCCCCCACCCAATCACAAGCACCGTGACGACAGGCGGACGATGCCACGCCGCTGATGACGGCCACAGCAGAGCAGAGTCGCTGGGACCCAACAAGAGCCCCGTGGAGGGCGGATTAATGGGAACGGGGCTGATGGTGGAGGGGGGGGGGTAGAGGGGGGGGGTAGAGGGGGGGGGTAGAGGGGGGGGGTAGAGGGGGGTAGAGGGGGGGTGGGGGGGGTGGTGGACTGGGGGGGTGGTGGACTGGGGGGGTGGACTGGGGTGTGGAGGGGGGGTGGACGGGGGGTGTAGAGACAGGCTGGGCTCGAGGCTGCGTAGTCCACGCAGACATTGGGGGATGATTCGTGGGCATGGATGGGTGGTGATGGTGGAGACGCAGCGATGGGATGCAGGGGGGGGGGGGGCGAGGGGAGGTCTGTGGGTGAGAGACCGGCTAAGAGGGGCTGGGGGTTGGGGATGATGCGGAGTGGGGGGGGGAGCACGGTGGTGATAACGGAGAGATGTGGGGGGGAAAGACGTGGGGGGCAGCAGAGAGACGGAGACGTGAGGATGGAGACGTGAGGAGGATGGAGAAAGGAGAAGAGGGGAGGGAACGCGTCAATGACGAAGGGAGAGGCTGGGATGAAGGTGGGGGGGGGACGATTGCGATGCACGGAGCGGACAGAGAAGAGGGTGGGGGGCACGGCGGTGGGCACAAGAGGGCGCGTGGAGGGGGGCACGGCGGGGGGAGAGGGAGAGGCTGGAGCAAGGATGAGGACGAGGGGGGGGGACGTTCGGGATGGAGCTGCAGCGGCTGGGTAGGAGCGCGGGCGACGCGTTGACGGACGAACCACGGACGAACGACGAGGCGGCGGGGAGAGACAAAGGCGCGCGGGAGGCAGGTGTGAGTGGGGGGGGTGCTGCTGCCCCGTGTCGTCACCTTCATGTCGTTCACGATGCTCTGGAAGAGTCCGCCGAGCGCGTTACACTCCCGCTCCAGAGCCGTCTCCATGACTCCCCCCTCTCCTCCCTCTTCAACCCTCGTTTTTAACAACAAATCTCCACCGCCACCGCCGCCGGTCTCTCCCCTCGTCGTTCCGAGGGGCCCTCAGCTCCGCGCGGCTCTCTTCATGGAGCCCACGGTCTCAGCTCAGCCACGGGGAGCAGGCGGAGGGAGCGCAGAGACACAGACAGAGAGGCGGAGGACGGACAGCAAATGCGGAGAGTTCCCTCTGCTGACCAGCTCCACCTCCTCCTCCTCCTCTCGCTCGACACTCCCCGCCCCCTCTCCTCCTCCGTCTCCACCCACCACGCACCCTGCCTGACGCTCCCCGCTCCCCGCTCTCTCTCTCTCTCTCCCGCGTCTCGGCTCCCTTCTCTCACCCTGCGCCTTTCTCTTTTTTTTATTTTTGCGATCAGAGGAAACAAGAAGATGCCCGGTGTAGTCGGCACTTTGCTTCGTTCATCATTTCGGGGTTTTTTTTTTCAACGCTTTGCTTTATGTGCACCCCACCCCATCCCACACTCTCTCTCTCCCCGTGTGCGTGTCGCGTTCTCTCGCTGCGTGTCGCGTTCTCTCTCCTCCTCGTCTCCTCCTCCTGCACGCAGCGCAGCCACTGCCCTCTCTCAACCACGCCAGGGACGACGCCCCCGGCCACAAATCACACGCAGCACCCGCCCCTAACCACACGACCACAGCACCCGCCCCTAACCACACGACCACAGCACCCGCACCTAACCACACGACCACAACACCCGCCCCTAACCACACGGCCACAGAACCCGCCCCTAACCACACGACCACAGGACCCGCCCCTAACCACACGACCACAACACCCGCCCCTAACCACAACACCCGCCCCTAACCACACGACCACAACACCCGCCCCTAACCACACCTCAACCACAGCACCCGCCCCTAACCACACAACCGCATCTCACAACACCACCCCTAACCACACCTCCCACCACCATATCACATCTATAACTGGACCTGTAACCACACCAAGTTACACACATAATTGTCATTGTTTTTAGAGTTCTCTATTATTGGAACATTTGAATTGTGGTCCGAACGGATTTGGGTTATTTACTATTTCCTGCGACCAAATAACCGAGAATGCGCCCGGTGTGAGAAAGCTAAGCAGCTTTGAGCCTGGCTAGTGCTTGGATGGGAGACCATCAACGTGCACAGGCAGGTTGCTGTAGGGCTCAGGGCCTACGTGATGGGCAGCAGATGAGGGCAGTGGAGGAGGAACAACAACAACAACAACCGCCATTCGCCACTAAGTGGCGGTGACGTCACCACGACGCTTGTGCCAGGCTATGTGCACCCTGAGGCCACGTGAAGTGTCGAACGCCCGCTGGCAGGAGGTCACGGGGCAGACCCAGGTGCCACGGGTCGACTGGCTGAGATGACTGGCTGATGCACCACCTGTGCCCCCTACTGTGCCAACCCGCTGTGCTTTATCCACCCGGCGCTCCGCTCGTTGTTGTGAGCGTCGCTCCCCCTCCCCCCACACACATGTTTGTGTATTGTACGGTAAAGTCACGTAGAAAGAAAATACATTCAGCAATATTATTTATTTTAATTTATTTCTACGTGACTTTACCGAAAGAACCAAAGAGTAATTCCTTGCGATCACGAAAGCTTCAAATTAAGTTTATTGTATGGTACTTCTATGTGTTCCCACATCTATGCTACCCCAACTTCAGAAAACCCCACACTTGACCGGCAAAGTGAAGTATGGTCGAATAACCCACCCACGACCCTCATTGGGGGGGGGGGGGTCCAGCCCAGCGTTGACATGTTCGCTGGGTATGGATTAAAAGAGGTGCACATAATTAGTGGCGTTTTGGGAGGTGCACGGGAGTCCATTGGGGTATTGCATATACATTGTAGAAATGTTTGAAGCCTTAAACATATTCCACATTTTTAATCTCTGGGGCTTGGTAAGAACTGGGTAATAAACAGCGTGTGTATACAACATGCATTTACAGTAAACAATTCAACATCCAGATGAATCAAGCACCATAAACAGGCTTCCGCTCAAATTCATTCCTATAAATGTGATAGTATTTTATTTTTTAATTAAAATATATATGGAGGCAGTGCCGGATTAAGCTAGTGCGGGGCCTGTAGCATATGTTATAAAGGGGCCCAAATAAAAAAAAAAAACACGTAAATATATAACAATGTTTAAATTTCATAGTAAAGTAATTGTATTTTTTCATTTGATATACAGCCAGATAATACGACAAATCGCTAACCTTAAACACCCAGTCGTTCATTAACATTGAAGGAAAACTGCTCTAGAGGAGTTGTACACCCCGAGCTGCCACTGCTATTCATTGGCGTAAAATAAAATAAAATGTTTCGCTCCGGTTGACGCTGCAAAGTATTATCTGTATTTTGATTTAGCGTGCTGATCTTGGAAAATGTGATACTCCGACCGATGCTTCTGTTGTTGTGGAGTAACTCATGCAGCCAGCTATGGCTCTAGGATTTGGTGTTACATGTTATTTAATGTAGTTTATTGTAAAAATTCGGTCACAGTCCTTGTGATCACTGTTACGTTGCAATTATGGCTTTATTTTTTGGTGATTTGGAAAACGTTTTTTGGTTTGGACATGTTTGTTTTGTTGTAGTACGGAGTTAGACTGATGGCCTTAATCTAAGTTTTTGTGGTTGTTGTTGTTTGACTTGCATCCCACTGGGATTTTTTGCACACAGCGTTGGTGTACGGTGCTCTTTTCAGGAATATTTTTGCTGGTTTTTTTTCATGTATTTTCTGTTTGCAGTCACATAGTCACTTTAAGATGTTCTTCTTGTTCGTGTTTTTGGTTTTTTGTTTGTTGTGCTTGCACCCGATTCAAGAGCCGAATGGCTCACAGGGCTATACCAAAATAAACTGAAACTGAACTGAACTATAGTAATCGAGCAAGTGCAGAATCACTGAACCGGAATTGATAGCTCGCAAGCATTTAGCGCGGGGCCCTTGAAAGTGTGGAGCCTTTAACATATGTAGCTACTTGTGCTACTAGGGTAATCCGGCACTGTATGGAGGTTAAGCTTAAAAATTGACCTTAAAATGTGATGGTGAGGAATGCCGAGCGGGAAAGAGGGCCTGTGGTTATTGGGGGCCCGTGGTTATTGGGGGCCCGTGGTTATTGGGGGCCCGTGGTTATTGGGGGCCCGTGGTTATTGGGGGCCCGTGGCGGCTCTCCCTCTTCTGCGATTGACTCAAATCCTGCTCATCATGCGGGCGGAGGGGAGCCATCGCCCTGGGTAACGGCCCAACGTTTCTCAGCGATGTCAGAGGCGACAGAGATGCCACTTCCATGGGGATTTAATCATGAAGACCTGCTCAGTCTTCATCACGGGGTGATAGGTGGTACGTACTTGGGCGTGCGGGGGTGGGGCAAATATCATCCTAATGTTTTAAGGCTTTAAAAACTACTGCACGTTTAAAAATATATGTTGGAGGCATACCCCCCCCCCCACCCTCCATGGCTTGCCGAATTGGTCTGTGAGGTTTGAAAACTCATCTTGTATGGATATTAGGAAACAACTTTTAAATAATCTAGGTTGAAAACTAATTTCTTTAGAACTGCTTTTTTGTGTTTAGTTTGTTGTCCTTCCCAACGCACCTACAATTGGCGTGGTTGGCTACGTACGTTGTAAAAAAGAAGCTCAACATACCCACGTAAACATACATAGGACAAAAGCCTCGTTACGGTGCACCGAAGTCATTCCAATTTCTTTGGAACTGTTTTTTTTTTCGCGTGCGCTTAGTGACGTTTTGTCCTTCCCAGGATGCGCGCACCTCCGACGAGCACGATTGGCTACGCGCGGCGTTTTCGCGAGAAGCTACAAAACGCAGCGACGTTCACGTTGTTTATCCATCGTGTTCGCCTACGGCCTTACGCAATCTTCAGCTGGACAATCTCTCGCGGCACGTTGTTTATTTTGTGGTTTATTCCCTTTTTCGGGTGTCAATTGACACGAAGCAAAACACCTTAAGACGCTCGTTTGGGGCACGTCCATAAATGACGTCACGCGGTTTTGGACGATCTGTGACTCCCCTCCCCCCCCCTTCGTCACACGGCGTCATAAAAAGTCAGACCCCCCCCTCAAATATGACGTCACAAAGCTCTGCCCCCCCAAAAAATATATATATAAAACATGCTTCAAATCGTTGTAGCGCGTATTTAATGTGGCGCTGCACTCTGATGTTGCAGGAGAAAACATTTATTAAAAAGTCTATTTAATTCAGTAGAACGTGTTGTCTATATTTATTTAAAGTTACGCATTTTGATGTGACGTCACATTTCTCAAACCTCCCCATCGTCACAAATGTCTGACCCCCCCCCCCCCACGTGCGTGACGTCATTTATGGACGGCCCCTTACGTAGCCGGGGACCGGTGACTACACGTGGCCGGCTATAGCCCAGCACTGTCGAGGCAGCGGCGAGGGGTTGGTGAATCGCCGCACGCACCGATTGTTGCGGAACTCCCTCCTCTCCCGTGGTTGTCGCGGAGATGCCATACTCTGGCTCGTCAGGAGAGGGCAGTACTGCAAGTGGACCAATCGCCATCTGTTTCCCTCCGTATGGGGGTAGAGCGCTGCCTCTTCGCGCAACGCGTGGGGGTCTTCTCCGGGTGCTCTGGTTTGCTCCCCACTCGCGGCACAAAGGGGGTAGTGAGGGGAGAGGAATTGGTGTGGTGGGGTATGGTGGGGTATGTGCTGGGAGGGATGAGAGGTGAGGTTGGTGAGTTGGAGGGAGTGTGGTGGTGAGAAGGCTGATGGGTCGCGTCATTTTTGGGGGGAGTCACTTTGTGGACCATGTCTGGCAGGATGGTTCAGTTTTATTTGTATGAGTTTGGGTGATTTGTTTACATTTACTATACTTTACACTCCTACCGTGTTTCTGTCGTGTTTGTTGTAACGTTCTTACCCGCTCCTACTGGACATTCATAAAAAAGAGCTTTACAGCTCATCGGATTCCTCCTGTGTGTCTGTGTGTGTTTGTGTGTGTCTGAGGAGCGGTGGTGTAGCGGTTATCACGCTGCGCTGCGAGCCCGACGACCCGAGTTCGATTCCCGCTCAGGGCCAACACCGGTGACGATTACCCGAACCGCTCCTGGTCCTTCCCAAGGTCGATTCGGCCTCAAATGAGTACCTGGTGCGGTGTGTAAACATAGCCACTAGGGAGACAAAGGCGGTCCGGAGTGGTGCTGGTCACCCCACCCCTTCGTGTGCCGTGCCGGTGGCCTTTATAA